TATATTTTCCCTCACTGGGACTAAATTTACAAAGAATTTGGATTTGAGCTGTTTGTTGCTGCCTTGGCATCAAGTGTATGAAGCCCAGTATCATGCTTGGAATACAGGACTTATTATCTTAGCGGAGACTACTCAAATACAACTGTGTGGTAGAATCTTCACATCTTCTTCAAAATAGTGAGACCCTGATGGGCTACAACCCAGAATTCATTTGGATTTGAAAAATAATACAGGCATAGAGAAATTAATACCGATTTCTGCATGGCCCATAGTAGCCTTGAGTCCTTTGTTACTATAATTAACCAAATGTGGTTTTAGAAGTATGGATTACCATTGCTTTGTACATACACATCTTTTTTTTTTTTTTTTTAAGATTTTATTTATTTATTTGCCGGAGAGAGAGCGAGCCCAGGCAGACAGAATGGCAGGCAGAGGCAGAGGGAGAAGCAGGCTCCCCGCCGAGCAAGGAGCCCGATGTGGGACTCGATCCCAGGATGCTGGGATCATGACCTGAGCCGAAGGCAGTTGCCCAACCAACTGAGCCACCCTGGCGTCCCCCCCCCCTTTTTTTTTAAAGATTTTTATTTACTTGACATAGAGAACACAAACAGGGAGAGCAGCAAAGGGAGAGGGAGAAGCAGGCTCCCTGCTGAGCAGGGATTTCTGATGCAGGGCTTGATCCCAGGACCCTGAGATCATGACCTGAACTGAAGGCAGGTGCTTAACCCACTGAGCCACCCAGGCACCCCATCCTCCTGCTTTTCAACATTGTTTTAATGTTCATCCTGTTGGCATTTTTCCCATTTTGTACTTATTTTGAACAAACTTTTCCTGAGCCCGTACTTGGTAATACACTGTGGGAGCCTGATTCTTCCTCTTAAGGAGCTCATAGTCCATGTAGGAGACAAGACATGCAAACGTGCAGTTGAAAGCACAACAGAAGTAATAGACATGAGTATATACATGTCTCATTGGCAAAAAAAAAAAAGTGGGGGGGGAGGCTAAATACCAAAAGGCTACAGTGCTTTATTACCCTGCTCTCTAAACAGAGTTTAATAAAATACCAGAGGTCCCGTCACAGAACTGTGTACGTACTGTTTAGATGACAGGATTTTGCTTTCCATGAAGTTTCCTAATACTAGGATTTTGACAGATTTATATTTTCTTACTAGTAATGGGTCTTTCCTGTCACTAGCAAATGGTCAGCTGACACATCTGGCCGCAGCAATGCTATGCCACATATTAAAACATATATGAGACCCTCTCCAGACTTCAGTCAAATTTCTTGGTTTCTTGTCACAAGGTAAGTAATCCTTATAGTCTTGATGGGAAGAACTTTTAAAATGTGTTTGTAACTCTTGTTCTGAATACCGAATGGGTTTCCAAAAAGTGGTTTTGTAAATCGTCATCTAGTTTTCAAGTGTGTGTGTCTTCTGAGCCTTATTTAAGAGGCTTGTGACTTACCCCCTTCTAGTGCCTGTAATCATTGCCTGATTTTATGAGTCTTGATATTTATAAGGTTTGTATAAAGTCTGCATTTACTGTTGTTATTTAATATTCAATAGTAGGAATGAGGCAAGTTAACATTCAGGGTAAATACAGAACAAAAATATGGTAAAACTAGTATTCCTTAATTACTTTCTCTTAGGTAATTAATATTTGGCTAATCCAGTCTCTTAAGTATTTTTTTAAACATCTTTATTAAATAATTAACATATTTTAAGTTTCACCTCTTTAGTGTACAATCTAATGATTTAGTTGTATACTCTCAAGAATTGTGCAACGAACACTACGATTTCAGAATTTTCATTACTGCCTATAAGAAATGCCTTACCTACTAAGCATTCTTGTGTCTATAGCAAGGTATATTGCTATGCTCTTAGAAAAAGAGAACTGACTCCTAGTCTGACCAAACGCCATTAGGCAACTCTTAATGATTTAGTAACACAATTGATGTCATTAGCAATAATTAAGGTATGACAGAGTAATTTCTTTAATAAAAAACTTTGAAACAAAAGTTTAAAAATACAAAGAAGCTCTTAAAAAAGCCAGTTAGAAACAAAACCAAGTTCCTTCCCTAGCTTATGGAAATTAGTGGTTACACTTTTCACCTGCTCAGGATAAGGAACTGTGTGACATGAACAGTGTTAGGGGTATACATCAGATGCAAGAGTGGGCTTCTGCAAAGTTTTTGAAGCACAGAAGTTTTTTCCATTACACTAGAAAGTGTAATGGAAAAACATACATTTGAGTACTGAAGATTTAAGGTGCTCTGTCATTTACTAGCTCTGTGAACTTGCAAAATGGACTTAATCCAAGTCTATTTCCTATTCTTTGGGAAAAGTGATGGCAGTCTTTTGGGGTTGTCGTGAGAGTTAAATGAGATGCTCAAGGCTCCATGCATCTGACATAACGGACTGGAGGCCATGATAGCTGGGATTATGCCAGTTGGGGCTTCACCGTCAAGACTGAAGGATGGCCAGGGGAGTTGGTACACATTTCTTTGCCGTGTGTCTTTTATTTTTATTTTTATTTTTTAAATTTTATTTATTTATTTGACAGAGAGAGATCACAAGTAGACAGAGAGGCAGGCAGAGAGAGAGAGGGAAGCAGGCTCCCCGCTGAGCAGAGAGCCCGATGCAGGACTCCATCCCAGGACACTGAGATCATGACCTGAGCCAAAGGCAGCGGCTTAACCCACTGAGCCACCCAGGCACGCGAGAAACTTTGGCTTCTGAAGGAGCTTTCTTGGATGTGAAGACCTGAATTAGATATTTCCTGGGTAGAGAAGGCATTGCCTGAGACAGATAGGTAGTGCCAGGGAGAACAGAGACCTCTAAAATGTATGTGGCCTGACCTTGGGCAAGTTCAATCCCTAGTTGCCTTGGTAAGTATGAGATTTTGTTAGTCCCTCTCCCAATTTTATTTTAACACACTTAAAGCTAAATTATTTAAATATTCCTGACTTAGTGATGAGAAATTATCAATATGCTACCCAGCCTTCTACAAAGCGAATCAATAAGTGCATAAATTGGGGTATATTATGGACCCTTGAATGTAATCCAAAGGAACTGGATCTTCAGAGACTACATTTCAGTGTCAGCTCACCTGTTCAATAATTGTCTGTTAAGCCGAGTTATTGAGTAAAAAAGAAACCATGTTACTAAGTTGCAGTATTAAAAGCCTGGCTTTTTGAATTGCATCTTCCCCATCCTAATGGTGTGTGTGATGGTCACTTCCTGCATACCCTGATGATGAGTCAGTAAAACTAGGTGAATTATCTACTTGCTTGCAATTCTGAAATGCTACCACTGGGAATAGTTGAGTAATAGGCCATCATTCACCCCATGGGCTAAATGTTTTGTGTTTGTTTATTTACATGACCATTCTTTTGCTTTGTGTTGAATACCTTGAATTAGGTATTTTTCTCAATCTGGTCTGACAGAATTCTCTGACCGTGTGGGTCATGTTTTAGGGCTCTACCCCTTATATATTCATTTTTTTGGTATGAGTCAAGGTTCTTCCTGCAATCATGCTACTTTGCATGAAGGCTGGATTGAACTTGAAGGCTATACTTCCAACTTTGAGAAAAATCAGATAGGATTTCAACCAATGTAGGAGAAGCCATGTGGAGAAATATATCAATTATTTGGTAAAAGTGGTCTTATCTAGCATCATGTTATCCTGCTGGGAAAACTGTTGCCTAGAGAAATGTAGCCATGAGTCTCTTTATATGTCACTGGAAAAGTTGAATTTACTGTTTATTTGGGGATTGTTTTCCTCAGGGTGGAGTTAAAAGATGGACGTACTTCACTAAAGTTGGGTATTTATTGATCCTATTTTAAGGGCATAAAATGAGGTTGAGATTAAAACTGAGTAATCCTTGTATAAAGACAGAGTTTTTGTAGTTGAGTATAACGACAACATTTGTTCAGCTCTAGGAATCCAGAATAAGAAATGACCCCATGCCATGCAGAGGCTGCAGGAAGAGATGGGACCCTGTCCGTTAGTTGCTTACCTGTGTCAGGATCTGATGAAAGCAGAAATGTATTATCTGGTTGGGAGTGGGGTCGGGGTGGGTCAGAGACCTGCTAAAGTTAAGGCAGTGGTATCGCAAGTAGGGCTGGAAGTATGCCAGAGAGTAAACCAGATGGACTGGAAGGGACTCTGAGCAGAGGAAGGGGGTGCAGAGGCCACGGAGCTGGAAAAGTACATGGGGTTTTCAGGGAACATCTGAGTGAAGCTGCAGCTAGATGAAAGAAAAAAGATTTCATGTAGCTTCAGAATGGATTTTCTCAAGCCGGGGCACCTTGTGTTCTTAAGTCCAAAAAGCGTCCACTGTCTATTCACTTCGTAGCTGCTGTTTTGTATTCTGTGAATAACTGCTTATTCATTACTAAATTCTGACTCAGAAGTTAATTTGTTAAGAATTTGAAGTTTGTCATGGATTTGTGGCTTCTAATTTCATTCTGGAATACCTAGGCTGAAAACTCTCAACTTACCAAAGTATACAAAAAATTAAAACAATTACTTGGCAATTTCAATATACCAGACACTGTTCTAAGTGCTTTTGTGTTCATTTAGTTTTCACAGCTGTTCCATGAGGACTTGGAGAATGGTTAAGTAGGCTGCCCAGAGGCAAACAGTAGTAAGTTATGGAAGCAGGATTTGAACCCAAGGAATTTAACCTCACACCTGGTGCTCTTCACTTCGGCTTTCTAATGCCACTCTTAACAGCTATTTTCTGTGTATACCTATTTTCTGTGAAGACAAGTCAAAAGAAACTGCATCACTTTACTTTGATTGTGATATGAAAAAAAACAAACCCACATAGCATCCCAGTATTGAAGTATGTCTGACATAACTGAAGTAATAATTTAGAAAATACTTAGAGCCCATTCTCAGCCCTTCTACAATAAGGAAAGCTGTAGATCCAAAATAAAAGAGACATCTACCAGGATCTCCATTTTGTTTCTTGGTTTGCTACCTTCTCTCCAAGTCAGAACATCCCAAACTGAGCTCTTTTTTTTTTTTTTTAAAAGATTTTATTTATTTACTTGACAGATGGAGATCACGAGTAGGCAGAGAAGCAAGCAGAGAGAGAGGAGGAAGCAGGCTCCCTGCTGAGCAGAGAGCCCAATGTGGGGCTCGATCCCAGGACCCTAGGATCATGACCTGAGCTGAAGGCAGAGGCTTTAACCCACTGAGCCACCCAGGCGCCCCAAACTGAGCTCTTATGTAGAAGGATATTTCCTTCCTAATATCTATCTTGGCCTTGGTGGCACCTGCCCCCTCTTTTCTCCTCAGCCTTACAGCCCAGCCATCCTCTTGCTATTCCTTTCTTTGAGCATTCTGCAGCATTTACTGCAGTCCTTCCTCTTGTGAATGCGGGGCACTCGGGATAAAAACATAAGCATCAGGACACCTGGGTGGCTCTGTCATTTAAGCGCCTGCCTTCAGCTTACGCGTCATGATCCCAGAGTCCTGGGCTCAAGTCTTGCATTGGGCTCCTTAATCGGCCGGGAGCTTGCTTCTCCCTCTCCCTGCCTCTCCCCATCCTTGTGTGCATGTGCGTGCATGCAGTTGCTGACAAATAGTATCTTTTTTTTTTTTTTAAAGATTTTATTTATTTATTTGTCAGAGACAGAGGGAGACAGAGTGAGCGAGCACAGGCAGACAGAGAGGCAGGCAGAGGCAGAGGGAGAAGCAGGCTCCCCGCCAAGCAAGGAGCCTGATGTGGGACTCGATCCCAGGATGCTGGGATCATGACCTGAGCCGAAGGCAGCCGCTTAACCAACTGAGCCACCCAGGCGTCCCCAAATAGTATCTTTTTAAAAACAATAAAAAATAAGCTTCTTAAAGGCACTACCTAAATCTTATGTTCGATGTTAGAAGCCAGACACAGAAGTAATTAAAACAGGAAGGGAGCAATTCTGTGCTTGAGTTGGGCATGTGGTTGCTTTGGAGGATAATCAAAGCCTGTTCATCCTTAAAGTGTCTCAGACATTACTTTTCTGATAAATGAAATTACCGAGTCAGGTACTGCCTGGACTTGTGAAGTGATTGCCTATCTGCCATCCCATCACTCAAATGGTCCACTTCTCAGGCCTCCTTTCCTTTCCTAGTTGTTGATGCCCATTCACCTTTCAGAAGCATGAATTTTTCTCACTGTCCCATGTTCAGGTTCCCCCCACTTCTTGTGTACTAGTGTCTAGATATCTCCTTGGCGTTGTGACCCTAACCATACCATTTCCTCCTTTCTTATCCTGTGTTCTCCAACATGAACTACCAGAAGCAACTTCC